GTTGATGGGGAGGCACTCTACGGGTTTATGTGAGCATTGTCTGGTGGAGGAGGATGTTAATCACGTTATTTTTAATTGTCCTTTGTATGGGGACCAAAGGTTGTGGGTGATGGAGAGGTTGGGTAGGGAAGGCGGAGCACTGAATTTGAGGACTTTGTTCATTAACATAGGCTTTCTTTGGGGATTCCTTAAAGATTCAGGTCTGAAAGATAGACTGTAAACTCTGATCCACACTCCGGAACAGTAGGGGCGGTGATACACCTTTCAGTTGGTTGCCGGTGTTGTGCCATAAATCGACTCGCTGCCAAAAACTGATTAGCCACCGCGGGATCGCGCACGGTTAGGGCAATTGCATTTCTAGACGAAATTCCCCAGGATTTCGCCCTAAAACTCAGCATATCTAGCAATATGGACATTCAGAAAGCAGAGGTAACCTCTTCCGGTACTTAAACAGATGTTTATCGCGGATATTAGTTTTTCCAGTTCGGAAGTTGTTTTAAGTGTTGCTATTTGTCTTAAACGTTCACAATGAGGATATATTAATCCTTTTTGCAATATTTGCGATTGAAAGACGGATTGTGGTAAGAACTGGCTATCTTTATGCTACAGCCTTGATACAAAAAATAAATAAACAATGTAAAATGGCCGCCCTGTATTGAATGTAAACGTCGTATAAATGTAAATAAACAATTCTCCAGCGATTTGATTTATCCCCCCTTTCTTTCTTTAGTCCACTTGACATGGAGCCACAGTTAGTTTGGGGTACATTTTTACTTGAAAAATAGTATTTAAACTGATCAAGCTTTGGCTTTAATGACACTGTGTAGGTTACTATCTATACATTACGTTGCTCTATTTAAAAGTAACAAGATAAAAGCACATCAGCACATAAAATTAAGATTGTCACTTGCCAAATAGACTACACCCTCCTGTTTACCTATAAGAAACGCCTCAAAATATCTTTAAATTCTTTATTGATGATTTAATTGTAGACAACTAAAATGGCGTTTTACTTGCCAAAAAGTGATTGAATCGCTCAGATTTTCATGGAGGCTAAAATTGACCAAATAAGGGTTTTATGTATTATCTGTTGACGTTACTGTACTCATACTGTCTACTGTATCATCATAAACACCCCAAAAATGGCAACAAAAAAAAAGATAATTTCCCTTGCCAAAAATTGATCACAGAGTCCTGGTCACGTGTAAAGGGTTAAATTTACCTAATATTACTTTCTGTATTTTCTCTTGATGTTATTAGTGCCATCACAGGATGTTGGGTGTTTTTCACATTCATAAACACCCCAAAAATGGCAACAAATGATCATTTCCCTTGCCAAAAATTGATCACAGAGTCCTGGTCACCTGTAAAGGGTTAAATTTACCTAAATATTACCTTATTTATTATCTCTTGATGTTATTAGTGCCATCACAGGGTGCTGGGTCTCTTACACATTCATAAACACCTCAAAAATGGCAACAAATGATCATCTCCCTTGCTAAAAATTGATCACAGTGTCCTGGTCACCTGTAAAGGGTTAAATTTACCTAATATTACTTTCTGTATTTTCTCTTGATGATATTAGTCCCATCATAGGATGCTGGGTGTTTTTCACATTCATAAACACCCTAAAAATGGCAACAAATGATCATCTCCCTTGCCAAAAATTGATCACAGAGTCCTGGTCACCTGTAAAGGGTTAAATTTACCTAATATTACTTTCTGTATTATCTCTTGATGATATTAGTCCCATCACAGGATGCTGGGTCTCTTCCACATTCATAAACACCTAAAAAATGGCAACAAATGATCATCTCCCTTGCCAAAAATTGATCACAGTGTTCTGGTCACCTGTAAAGGGTTAAATTTACCTAATATTACTTTTTGTATTTTCTCTTGATGATATTAGTGCCATCACAGGATGTTGGGTGTTTTTCACATTCATAAACACCCCAAAATTGGCAACAAATGATCATTTCCCTTGCCAAAAATTGATCACAGAGTCCTGGTCACGTGTAAAGGGTTAAATTTACCTAAATATTACCTTATTTATTATCTCTTGATGTTATTAGTGCCATCACAGGATGCTGGGTCTCTTACACATTCATAAACACCTCAAAAATGGCAACAAATGATCATCTCCCTTGCCAAAAATTGATCACAGTGTCCTGGTCACCTGTAAAGGGTTAAATTTACCTAATATTACTTTCTGTATTTTCTCTTGATGATATTAGTCCCATCATAGGATGCTGGGTGTTTTTCACATTCATAAACACCCTAAAAATGGCAACAAATGATCATCTCCCTTGCCAAAAATTGATCACAGAGTCCTGGTCACGTGTAAAGGGTTAAATTTACCTAAATATTACCTTATTTATTATCTCTTGATGTTATTAGTCCCATCACAGGATGCTGGGTCTCTTCCACATTCATAAACACCTCAAAAATGGCAACAAATGATCAACTCCCTTGCCAAAAATTGATCACAGTGTCCTGGTCACCTGTAAAGGGTTAAATTTACCTAATATTACTTTCTGTATTTTCTCTTGATGATATTAGTCCCATCATAGGATGCTGGGTGTTTTTCACATTCATAAACACCCTAAAAATGGCAACAAATGATCATCTCCCTTGCCAAAAATTGATCACAGAGTCCTGGTCACGTGTAAAGGGTTAAATTTACCTAAATATTACTTTATTTATTATCTCTTGATGATATTAGTCCCATCACAGGATGCTGGGTCTCTTCCACATTCATAAACACCTCAAAAATGGCAACAAATGATCATCTCCCTTGCCAAAAATTGATCACAGAGTCCTGGTCACGTGTAAAGGGTTAAATTTACCTAAATATTACTTTATTTACTATCTCTTGATGATATTAGTGCCATCACAGGATGCTGGGTCTCTTCCACATTCATAAACACCTCAAAAATGGCAACAAATGATCATCTCCCTTGCCAAAAATTGATCACAGAGTCCTGGTCACGTTTAAAGGGTTAAATTTACCTAAATATTACTTTATTTATTATCTCTTGATGATAATAGTCCCATCATAGGATGCTGGGTGTCTTTCACATTCATAAACACCTCAAAAATGGCAACAAATGATCATCTCCCTTGCCAAAAATTGATCACAGTGTCCTGGTCACCTGTAAAGGGTTAAATTTACCTAAATATTACCTTATTTATTATCTCTTGATGATAATAGTCCCATCATAGGATGCTGGGTGTCTTTCACATTCATAAACACCTCAAAAATGGCAAAAACTAACTAACTAAATAAATAAATAAAAATGACAGTTTCACTTTTTTATATTACTTTCTTTTGTTTTTGTTTAAAGATTTGTTATTATGTTAGGCAGAATTTTTTCAAGGCAACAAACTTTGCTCACAGCTCATTGGCCAATAGCGTTAATTAGTAGGCAAGTTGGTTAATTAAATCAAATGGCGCCACATTTCGCAGTGCAAGATGGATGCAACCTTGTATTTTCAAATTTTGGCTTTCAAAAATGAAGGAATATATCCCCCTGGTCTTTCTCTTTTACAGAAGTCCAACTTTCGTCGAAAAGCCAAGAGTTTTGAGGTCCAATGTATATGTTTATTGGTTTCATAACCAGTTTTTCAGCTCATTACACAACCGCAAAGTCTGCTATGTTTTAATTATTATTTTTTGACCAGGTTGTAGAATGTATAAGTTGGCTTTAAGTATACTTAACAGGTTATCTTTATGATCGGGGCACGGCAGAGCCTCCCTAGTCCGACCAAAGTGCTCGACTCGGGTCATACTCGGACCCATGACCCAGCACGAGAAATAAGGTAATATTTAGGTAAATTTAACCCTTTACACGTGACCAGGACACTGTGATCAATTTTTGGCAAGGGAAATGATCATTTGTTGCCATTTTTGGGGTGTTTATGAATGTGAAAAACACCCAGCATCCTGTGATGGGACTAATAACATCAAGAGATAATAAATAAAGTAATATTTAGGTAAATTTAAACCCTTTGCAGGTGACCAGGACACTGTGATCAATTTTTGGCAAGGGAAATTATCTTTTTTTTGTTGTTGCCATTTTTGAGGTGTTTATGATGATACAGTAGACAGTATGAGTTCAGTAACATCAACAGATAATACATAAAACCCTTATCTGGTCAATTTTAACCTCCATGAAAATCTGAGCGATTCAATCACTTTTTAGCAATTAAATAATCAATAAAGAATTTAAAGATATTTTTAGGCGTTTCTTATAGGTAAACGGGAGGGTGTAGTCTATTTGGCAAGTGACAATCTTAATTGTATGTGCTGAAGTGCTTTTGTTACTTTTAAATAGAGCAACGTAATGTATAGATAATAACCTACACAGTGTCAATAAAGCCAAAGCTTGATCAGTTTAAATACTATTTTTCAAGTAAAAATGTGTCCCAAACTAGTTACCTGTGGCTCCATGTCAAGTGGACTAAAGAAAGAAAGGGGGGATAAATCAAATCGCTGGAGAAATGTTTATTTCCATTTATACAACGTTTACATTCAATACAGGGCGCCATTTTACATTGTTTATTCATTTTTTGTATCAAGGCTGTAGCATAAAGATAACCAGTTCTTACCACAATCCGTCTTTCAATCGCAAATATTGCAAAAAGGATTAATATATCCTCACTGTGAACGTTTAAGACAAATAGCAACACTTAAAACAACTTCCGAACTGGAAAAACTAATATCCGCGATAAACATCTGTTTAAGTACCGGAAGAGGTTACCTCTGCTTTCTGAATGTCCATATTGCTAGATATGCTGAGTTTTAGGGCGAAATCCTGGGGAATTTCGTCTAGAAATGCAATTGCCCTAACCGTGCGCGATCCCGCGGTGGCTAATCAGTTTTTGGCAGCGAGTCGATTTATGGCACAACACCTGCCGCCGTAAAACTCTAAGATGAAGAAGAAGAAGAACTTTGGAGAGTGAGGAGACCCATCCAATATGGCGGCTTAGCTGTTACGTCCTCCAGAGTCATGTCTATGGTTGACACTGCTTCCTTTTTCGTACGTGACGTTACTTCCTCCTCAAAGGCTGAAATGGAGGAAGGTGAGATTTTCATGGAGCTAAGGTTAATTTATTGTTCAGAAGATGGTTTAGAGGATGAAATGTTATGAAATGTTGTAGTTGATATACCAGTGAGACGTTTTTCCGGTTATTGCATTAGTTTTATGTAGAATGGGATAGTTTCTCGAGTGTTTTTCCATGTGTTTTGTGTGTGTGTAAACTGGCTGTGTCCGACTCCAGGGGCAGGAGGATGATTGTGAGTACGGTCGGTCGGTCGGTGGAAAGGAGGCTACGTCTTCGTCGGTTTAGCTAGGTCGGGTCCTTGCTCGGCCGCTAAGACCGGAAGTCAGCGGCTACGAATCCGGACGGTTTAACCATCGCTCCTACGGCAGCCTGTAGGTCCTTGGCAGTGGAACTTTTAGCAACCGTGACGTGATCTACCGGGCAAAGGAAAAGAGCGAAAGCTAGAGAAATTTGAGCAGGGATGTCATTTTAGCCTTTCTACAGCTGCTTCACCTTTGCCCTGGGAGACAACCATTCCAGGTAAAGTCATTTTGTTTAGTCTACAAGCTTTCAGCACTTACATGTTCACTTTAGATAGTTTCATGCGTGCAACTGAATTATCTGTGCTTAAATATATACATTACTATAAAGAATCGCCATGTAGATAATTACAAAAAATGAAGTGCATTTTAAATGTTGAATACAGCAGGACATTTCCTAATATTAATTGTATCTTAAAACGTGTTAATGAGCATAAAGTGGGTGTAAAATATAAAAAATGATCTTAAGTTATTAAAAAAGCATTGACATGTTTTCAATGTGCATTTGTTTATTCAACTTAAGGCTAGTAATGCTCAGATCTCTTCTAAAAATGTAAGTCATCTGTAGTTCTTTTCATGATGCCCTGCTTCTCTTTAAACAGAAATGATTTTTGCTGTGTGAGCCACGTTGCTACGGGAAGCCGCAGTTGAAGTAGAAGCGGCACACAAGTCAAATGGATGGATAAAAAGGAACAAGGATGAATGACTCCCTTACAGGGATAGACTTGTGAAGGACTCTGTAGATCTCTACAACCTCAAATGAAACCAACAGCGCTCAGTCATTTCATTGCCGATAATATCACTTGAGTAAGTTAGCCATTCGAAAAGATAACTTTACCAACCCAGGTGCTACGCCAGGTTTTCAGTTTTGGGTGGGCTCTGATAATAACTTGTTTAAATAAGCCATAAAATTGCTTAAACAAGTTATTTTCGACATAAGTTCTAAGCAGGTACAGAAACATTACCTACATTCAGAGGTGGCACTATAGACGTTTTTGTTTGAATTTTGACCGACAGAGTAAAACAAAAATGGTCATGATCGTTTCCTCTCGTCATTTTTACTTCTGAAGTAATAATAAATAAAAATAAATCGCATTTCATTACTATTTAGTCTAAACAAGCTAACCAGCATTTCCAGCAACATATTAATGTTACAGTAAACAATTTAAAGTAGGAACGTTTGCCCTGCTGCGTTCTGGTTCTGCTGCTGGGCCGTGACCCACAGATGCGTTCCCAGCTGCTCTCCACAGCTCCTCAGCGTGCTGATGGCGAGCTGCTGATCATGATGTCCAAGACTGAGATCATGCTCAGATGTTCTGATGGGAATCTTTTCTTGATTGTCTTTGTTACCTTCGTGATGACCTGTGTGTAATGCCTGCTCACCTGAATGAGTCGGGTGGTAAAATGACAGCCTGGAGATTTTTCCGTTAAAAATAAACAGTCCAAAAATATCCAGTTAACGCAACCCCTGCCTGCATTTAACTTTTTAACCTTCTTGTGAAGATCGCATGGCAGCCCTTCACACAATAGGAGTGTACCATTTTCTGCAGGTTTATAAGCTCATAGCAACACAAAGCAACCAATGTTTCCTTTTTTTATTCACCTAGCTAACCCATCATGTGACGCGCTACAGCACCTGATACCACTTCTGACAAAGACCTATTACAGGTCAACATGCACCATTCTGCTCATCTTCCTCAGTGCTGGTGACACTGTGGCCCTGCAGGATGATCCTGAGGAAGATGTTGCTGATGATGAGAGGCTGGTATGGAGGCAGTGAGCGGTGCGCTCTCCTGGAGGAGGTGCCACCAGACCATGACTACTGTTAACAGGCAAGTTATTTATGCAGGAACCTTTATTAAAACAAAACTGTGTTTTAATTTGCTGAAGAGTCACAGTTGTTATACTAGTGAAGTGAACCGTCTCCTCATTGCATTTTTCTGAAAATGTCCTAGTGATGTGACAGCCGTCGACTGAGCCAGCCCAGTGGTCCCTGTAGATGGACAATGGAGTGGACAGTGAGAGGCAGCATCCCAAAGCTCTGTCTGCAGAGCGTCTTGTACAATGTTCCACCATCTGACCAGAAACATCCAGCCATGGGTCTGTTCCAGCCCTCCATCCTTGTCTGGGATCCTTCTGCAGCAGATCCAGCTACAGCCAAAAACTTCCTGCTCTCTCAGTTTAAGTAAATGATCCAGGAAAGAATCACTCAGGTTAATCGATGTACATAACTGTTCCATATTTGTTTAGCTCTTTAATTAATTTTACTATAATTGTATTATAAATAGTCTTGTCTCCTTACCATATTTTCATTTTCTTTTCATTGAATATTTTCAGAAATGCCTGTAAATAATAAAAGTGGCAATTAAATAAATGATCAAATCAGTTATTAATTAGTATTTGATTTAATAAACATTCAAACACCAAAAAAACTAGATAAACACATCAACATGGCTATGATGGTGGAAGGCCTCTTTCCCAGGAGGTAAAGCCGGACGGACATTGTGACTTTTTGCAACCTGACTGCTCACACACCAGTAGCAACACTTTGGGCCTAAAAATACAATTTTTTACATAACATGCTGAATTTTTTAAAGTTATTGATGTATGTTCATCAGGAGTGCTGTAGGAGGACACAGGGATTTATGGCGGTTGGAAGTGGAAGATGAAAGCAAAAGTAAATCAGTGTTTTATCATCGTTTTTTTTTTTTTCAATTTGACATTAACGCACTTTCTTGACCATTCTTGTGTGCGAAAAAAATGTGTATGAATAAAACTAACGGTGTGTGTTTATAGGGAAATAGCTGGCGAGCCGTGTTGACACATGTTTGTGCATGCGCCTTGAGCGGTTCTTGAACCTTTTGGGTCGCAGCTGCTCGCAGCGCTGCTTCAACAGTGCGATAAGTAGTCTTTTAATCGTGAACCATTTTTTGAGAATTTTTGTGATTTGCATTATTTTATTAATGCTCACCATCTGTTTGCACTTGTTATAAAACTTTTCATGACATTTAAAGGGACTATAGGGAAGTTTGACAGCCAAAACATGTATATAAATAATAAATGTCTTCTTCATACATTCTCCTGCAATGCCCTGGTCCTGTAGAATGAGCCCTGGCATTTTTACTGTGATTGCCTGTTTTTCTGTAAAATCACAGAAAAAGAGAGATGCTCGGGTCGAGCAGGATGCTTCATGCGCGTTCACGCTCAGGCATCGCCCGTAGCATTTGCTATCAGTAGCTTTAGCAGCAGAGAGAGAGGCAGTGCCACTTTGTCGCTGTTCCTAACGCCTAGTAACAAAGCTAGCTACATTTCTGAGGACCCTTAGCTACTTTCTGTAGAACTTTCTTCTAGATATTTCCTGCAAATTAGCAACAAAACAGCCATTTTCACCCCGAACCGTTCTTTGGATTGACGTTTCAACTGTCATCAAGGATATAAATGTTACAGATACGCCAAATGTTACTGGCGCCTTAGCTCACCTAGTAAGATGTCTGACTCGTGCAGAAGAACTGGGTTCGATTCCAGGTATGAACATAGTTTTTTTTTGGAGTTTATTTTTTACATTAATGGGATATTTTTTACAGTAAGATGCCCAAATTTTTATTTGAGACTCGCCAAAAGGCATTGAATTCACAGATAAAAAAGATGTGGGTTCAACTTTCATTTTGGAACAATTTTTCAAGCAAGGGAAGGGAATGATCTGAGCATGCAGGAGGACTGACCCATCTTAAACCTTTGTTGGCTGTGCTGAAGAGAAAGGTACAGAACCAAATTATTTAATTAATTAGCTGCGCGTTCTCCTGTCCTCTGTCCTCCAGGCCACACACACACACACACACTGCACGTTCGGCTGGCCGACGAGAAAGTGCAGCTGCAGAGACAGAGGAACATTATTTTTATTAATTTCCTGTGTTGTTCTGTCGTCCGGGCCACACACACACACGGGACTGTCTCAGCTGTTATTTTCGTTAAGGAGTGTGATCGTACAGCATGCGTGCCTCGTGCACGAGCCTACTATTGAAGCTGCCGTTACTCTTTTGGCGTGAGGGGTTAATCGCAAGCATAAAAATTCAAAAGTCCGAAAAGTCCCTTTAAAAACTTTAAATTCCACAGTTCCAAATTCTTATCTTACCCCCTCCTTCACATTTTAAACAACACATTTCGGGGTTGTAACAAAAATATCAAACACGCCAGAAGTTACTGCGAGCTTAAAATTGCTGAACGGTAGCTGGTCATGTAGTGTTAATTGCCTCTTTTTAACCCTCTGTATACTACATGACGCTCAGCGCAAAACTTGCCCCGATCTTGTAGATTCTCGCACGAGGGGAAAATCAACTTAAAAAAGTGAAAAAGTCATACAGTGTATGCCCGGCTTAAAGTAGCAGCAGTGAGCCTCGTCTGACCCTGGACACTTGCAGTCCTAAACAGAAAATAAAATCAGAGATCACAGGTGACAAAAAGGACACAATGACACTACATGAGAAGATAAAAATTATGTTCTTCACGATAGAGCTAGGCGATTCAAAACAAAACATATATCTATCTTTTAGCTGAATTCCTTTATATGATCATATAGTTCATATCTGCATGAAATAAACTTGAACAAGAAAATAGAAAAGGCTTTCATACTGTTAGACAGTTTCTCTCATGTTAACACTACTTAACTCAAACTTTTGGACCTTCTACAGTAGCTCTGAATAACTTTAGCTAAAATTATTT